ATTGAAGTGTTTGCATAACACGTGGTCAAGAAAGTCATTAAATTGATTTCATTCTAGTTGTCTTTGTTTCTTTTTAATCTTATGGAAATAACACCTGTTATGCTCTCACTAAAACTGAGATGCACTTCGATGTAATGAGGAATGTGAACGAGCATTCTAACCCATAAAGTTTTCTTTAATGGACACTCCAGTGCTATTATATCCATCAAAAGACAAACAATTCCTAAGGACACCAACACATGTGATGACGGAATTGAAACAGAGTTTTCACAGTTGCAGGATGGAATAGCGTATATAACCATGTATGCTACTCATACACTGACAGCTCTTGAACACAGATACTGTATGATCAAGAAAGATCTACACGCAGTTGTTGTCTTTTTAAAGCACTTTCGTCCTACTTATTTCGGTAAAACAGTTAATGAACTTTGAAAATCTGGAAAACATGATGGCTAATTGGATAACAACATTGCAAGAATATGACTTTGTCGCAGTGCATTGCCTGGGTGCACAATACCCTAATACAGATGGAATGTCTTATTGCACATCCATTCATGAAATTTCCTGATCCTAAACACTGTGTTGGAGTTGAAATAATTTCCACTACAGCAGTGTAAAGTCATACAATAGAAGATTTCAATAGTAAATAGTTGCAACTGAAGGATCAAAATCTAGCATGGGCACTCAGAGGCATCGCAAGGTACTTAAAAGATTTGGGGCTCGGGCCCATAGGAGTGGGAATCTTCGACGTTTCAGTATGATATGAGTTTCTAATCTGATTTTTCAAAACACCAACTGGGAATTCTAGGCACGGTCAAATAGAACTGGGGCAATGGACCCATGTGGCAATGCCTAGCGATGCTTCTGTGGGCACTCCTTACATATAGTAAGGTAAAGCTCAGCCAGCTCAAATGGAGGAAATTAACATTGATTCACGTAACCTGTGGCAGTTGTATGGTCAGTTATGAATGAAGGAAGGAAGGTGTGTTGTACAATTGTTATCAACCACTGAGCCGTGGTTCTCAGACTGCGCTGCAGATAGTAAGCCCCAGAGTTCTAAGGCATGAGGTTTTTCAGACTTTTCATAATACAAAGTCTGAAAGGCACTAAAGTATTACTCACACTTGTGCTAATATTCGATGGCAGTTCTACTGGCTGCGTTTAATTAAATAGAAATTTTTGGCACTGGTGTGAATACTTGTCCTGTGTGTTATCCAGAGAAAGAACTGATTGAGGCAGGGGAAGCTTCAACAGAGAATTGTTGGATATTCTATACAGTTGGCGACATACTCATCCCTGAATAGCACAACTTAAAGCACAAGAAGATAACCAGGGAGTTAATTTCAACAGTCAGTTATTCTCTGAGTTATATAAAGTTTTTATGTGTGGTGAAGATTCTCACTTTGCCACATCATTTTCAGTTTGATGGTTTATCAGACTATATAATACAATATAAATAAAGAACTGTCTGCGGCTCCAAAGTCATAGGTTGCAACCCATACTCTAGACATTGTGGGATACCCACCCTAGGAGAAGGACTGTACATCGTGTCAACAGGGAGCAGGATTTCCCAATCTTGAGCATGTTCAGTAAACAGGTTTTCTGTACGCCATTATCAAGTATGATTAGTGCTCATCCCAACTGATATGACCAGGATTAACAAACATAGTCATACATGCACTAGACCTTTCACTCCAATTATTGAAATAGGGGTTGCATGCACTGTGGCTCTCAATATCCTGCGATTTTACCAAATTTGTAAAAAATAGCTCTTCGTGTTATTTAGGTTGCCGATCCATGGTCTAAAGAAATACGTGGAATGGTTATGTCTGCATTATTTGATGTACTTCAACAATTTGGAAAGGCTAACAAACTTCAGAAGAGGTGATACAATACGATTATAAAGGAATGAAGTTATCAACGTGAAGATTGATGTTACTGTGGTATGTGTCAGCAGCACGGAAGCAGATCAGGTCCAGCTGGACAAGTTCATACATCTTTCTCCAGCAGATTAGTCCACTGACGTGCGAGTTAAGGTGGATACTGAAATATCTATGAGTGGGTTAATTATCAGCAGTTTACGAAGTTTATAGACAGGAGCTTAGATATCATAACAAATGCAAACTTGGTATACCTAATGTTTTATTTGGTTATAATGAGATATTCTTAATCACGCAGAGTGAAATATTTTAAAAGTACACAGTTTTACTAAATATTTTCTTAACATTATTTCAGTACAAGGTACAGTTATAACGTATTAAAATGCATGTTGTTGGTGTATTAAAGGGAGTAGAAAGTAACTTTTTTTCTCAAGTCACACTAAAACTAATACTAAACTTGTGCGTGGAAGAAGGTTCTAAGAAGAGACAATGTAAAGTTAGTGCATTCTAATAGTCAAAGGTAGGAACTGGCATCACCTAGCCTGACTTAATTCATGTATGTAGGAACCAGTTTTGTAGTCTTGATCCTCTTTAGTTCATACTGGAATTGAGCTCTATCCATGTGATAACCAAACAGTGGTGAGAAGAATAAGCTGTGTTGACTGTTGTCTCTGCTAGACAACAGAGGGTATTAGTGAAGCAGACACCCATTAAAGCCGAGGATTGGGAAGTTCAAAGACATTTTAGATACATCTTCTATGCAAATATATGGTGTGAGTACATGTAAAACTGCATAAATATTACTTAACCAAGATACGTAGTTATAGTTATTACCCTATCTCTAAAGGGTCTTAGATCAGGTAATGGTTATAATTGAGCAGTTAGGACCATTTTAAAATAGATATCTAGTTGAACTTTTGATCAATTGAAATTTACCTGACCTCATATTTTCAATCCAAACTTTTGCTACTTCAGGTCAAACTGTTGATCATTCTGGCTATCTTTTTCTTTCACCAGTCAGTGGTAGCCAAACCTTTTTTGTTACCAATACCTGAGGACCTTTTTAGAGTTCAAACCTCCACTGTACATACTAGTCGTGAATGGAATAGCAGTGACCACTATTTTATCAACACTAGAGGAATCAAGCCTATAAGTGTCCGAGCAGTAGCCTATGTCATCATTTTTTATTCCAGTGAAGATGGAGCCAGCATTGACAACTAAATGCCGAAGGGACTCACTCTTGAAACGTTCCATTGGAGGGTTCAGTGTTTCCACACCTTTGACAAGTACATCATATACCAAAGTTCAAGAAAACTTTCTGGAGCTTGGATTCTCTTGATGTCCCGATCACTAGTTTATATGTCACCACTGACACTAACACAACCTTTACAGTGATGCAGAAAAGCCAGCCACCTCTTGGATCGTCTCCACCACCCAGATGTATACCACCAACAATACTGACCACAATCCAATCCATAGAGACAAGGAAAGGGGCTTCTATCTCGGCAACCACCACGGCACTGGAGTGGTCAAGGTGAGAGGGAGCAGAACCTCTGAATGAGTATAAATTTTTTATATCAATTTATTTAATTTAAGTGTTTTCTTTGTAATTCATCCTTAAATAGTTTTCACTATGTAGTTTATTGTTTAAGGGTATTTTCATACAATTATTTATTATCTAATTGTCAAATGGTTTTGATTTTTGAATGGTAGCTCTTTCTTGAAGGGTTGTGTTGTTCATGTTGCATATAAGTGTTTGCAGGAATGAGAAAATATTCACACTCTTTAATCAGAGTATGAGTGCAAGTATGATTGGTTTTAAAGTTAATGTAATTGTCAGTTTGAGGACAAACCTGAAAGAGAAAAGAAGAGAAAAGTGTGGAATGCAGTTATATCATGCATTTTCTACTTTTTCATTTTAATGTAGAATTTCTCAAAAAGTTTCGTTTATTCTTATGCTATGCAGTTTTTGTACAACGTGTGGTCAATAAAGTCACTAAGTTGATTTCATTCCAGTTGCCTTTGTTCCTTTCTTATTGCAAGGAGATAACACCTGTTCTGCCCATTGGGAAAAAAGGGTTCCTTTGTAATGCTACATGTTGAATAAGGATGTCAACAGACAATGTCCTTCAGTGGTAAGCCAGATGTTTTTGAATTTCTTTGTTTTAGGTAAGCCAGATCCCAGATGATATCTCGAAGTTATGGTCTCTCTTATATTTGAATGAAAATTACCAGTCATGTGGACAAGGATAGTTGCCATTGTTGAGTTTGATGTTTCCTGTTAACTAAGAACTGTTGGGTCAAAACATTAATGTACCAAATCCTGACTGAATTAGTTAGCGGCAATCTCAAGGGAAGATGTAAATCTCTTCAACTCACAAGTGTAGCATCCATAAGCAAGAATACGCACTGTGTTTTGTGTCTTAGATCAATAAATATGGTTTTCAAAGTGTGTTACATATCATGACAGTCTATTTATTTTCTTGCTCAAACTCAGTTAGTTGGAGTAAATCCAATATCACTTAGTGATATAATCTTTCCTATATATATAGTAGACCTACCTAATATTCTTTGAGGAAATAATTTTCACCTGTAAATACTACTAAAGTATAGTTGTGATGAATGGGTTGCCTTCAGATGCTGTAGATGCTTCAGATGATGTTGTTTAAGAAAAAGCTTGATAAGTATTTGAATGATAAGGGCTGGCTTTAAGATTTTTAAAAATTATTTTAATTTAGCCGAGATGGACCAATAGGTCCCATGTTGTCCCAAAACATTATGTTGTGTTGAATTAATCAATAAAATTAGTGATATGTCTTTAACTCCAAATTAAACTAAAACTTTAATAAATAAATTAATTGATCAAATGCAATTTTAAATAATCTTAGTGATAATAAAATTAGTGATATATCTTTAACTCCAAATTAAACTAAAACTTTAATAAGTAAATTAATTAATCAAATGCAATTTTAAATAATCTTCTGAACTGTATTAGACAAGTTGATTTTGAATATATCACGGTTTTAACAAACATTTCTATCAAACACAACTCCGACAATATTTGCTTTGAGCAGAAGTTAATATTAGTTTACAAACATTCCGTAATATGGCGCAAAGCACAGTTCAACATTGGTGAATTTGGCGGGAAAGCAGTAGTATACATAAACCATACCAAATTACAATTGGAAGATAGAATTTTCACTTTCATTTAGCTTTTTCTTTTTTTACCAAACGTAAATGGATTCGAAAGAGAATGAGCAATATATTTTCAACCCCGAGGTTTTACCTGATCTATTACCAGTCTACTACAAAAGACTTTTTCCGTTTAGTTTATACTACAGGTGGATGACGTATGGAAATTGTAAGTCACTATTTCCGAATAGGCTAACCTAGAACTTGGAGCATATAACATAAGTAAACTATAGTATATGATGAGTGTACAGACATATATATATTATTAATACTACTAATAGTAATGTCTATACTAGCGTATATTGTTGAGTAAGTACATTCTCATAGGCTAGACTAATTTATCGTTAGACGTTAACAGATTTCACATTTCTTTAAAAATTCTCAAATTTTTCACTTTTTTATTCATTCAACAAAAATTTCTAAATCTGTTGCACTACGGTTTTTAAATATTTTCTGAAGCTTATTAGTTTTCACTGTCAAACACTAATGACATTGTGAGAGTGACTTTTTAGATCATTTAGATCCAGTATATTGATACTTAAAAGTTTTGAAAATTAATGATTGATGAAGGGTTTGAAGAAAGATTTCAATTTCTATGGTTTGGTAAGATATTTGTCAAACTTAAAGCTGTAACTTGACACAATTACAATGATAGTCTGTGAAGGTTATAATATATCAGGATCCTTGTAAATCTGCCTAGTGTGGGCTTTATTGAAATCTCCTTCTCGTCCTACTCCTTGGGAAAAACAAAAGTTTGTTCACCAAATCCTAGGTCACAAATTGTAAAAATTTAAATTGTATGAACAGAAAGCTGCCTTGATAGGGGTTTGAATCGAGTATGCCCCATTGACCCACGTTAGTGTCTTGAGAGATGCTCTACCATTTGGGCAACTAGTACCGGTACTCAAGTCCCATATATAAATTTCCATCCTGCCCATTAAATGGTGGTGTGCTGTCAAAAAAAAAAATCACACAATGCTTTTATAGTTAAATTGACAAAGTTTTTTTGTATTTGTGGACTTCTTTTACAAACTCTGTGTTTAATATTTTTGTTTCAGTGAATAAAAACTACTTCCCATATCGAGAATTTTCATTTACTTTACAAGATGATATTTATTTGCGCTATCAGTCATTCATGGATCAAACAGAAATGGAGCGGGAAGTTCAGAAAAAGTGTCCTTATAAAATTGACATTGGAGCAGTCTACAGTTTCAGAGTAAGTGTAGTCATTAATGCCTTTAGAATGAGAAGTTTTAACCTCTTTGATATCTGAAAGGTCTTCAGTGAAAATAGCTACTTGAATTTTGATTGTCAACTATGTGTTTGATACTTCTGACATTAACACTGAAAATTAAAAATTGTACAGAGGTTTTTTTTTTCATGACCTGCGGTAACAATTTGCATAACCAACTGCTTTGGCTCTTGGATATTCTCATATCCTGTGACTTCTCAAGTTAAAAGTTCTGACCCCTTGCAATTTGCAAGTGTATATAGAACCTACAATTGATCCTTTCTGGAGAATGCTACAACAAAGGACTTCTTGACATAAATTCTAGCTTTTCAAAAAATGGTGTTTTAATTATATCAGTGATGCAAGGGAAGCAACAGACTCCTCCATAACTGGCCACCAGCTGCTCACTGGAGGTAATGAAGAAAGGAAGAAGCTTGTTATCAAGAACAAACCTAGAGCACAGTGCAGTTAAAGTAGGCTTCTCTCTTGGAACTTTGTCCCAGTTGCAGTGTGAGAGGGGTGGGAGCACTGAGAAATATACATCTTGGCCGCAGTGAATGGGTTATGATTGAGATCAACTTGGACTTAACAGGATGAATAAATATCCCTTTACTTGGAATATTGTAAGTTTTTTAAGGGATTTATATCGATTGCAGGTTATTGATGTCATGGTAAGTTAAACGTTCAGAGAGTAAAGAAAATATTCTAAGATACACTTTATACATTATCTGGCTAATCTGCTGACACTAAAATACTGAGAGGATATACCATTTTTGTGTGGACTTGAAATCATTAAGGTATACTTCATCAAAACAAAGTATTCTGTCATATATTTAAGTCAACATGCCAGGTAAGGTATGTTCCATCAAAACAAAGTATTCAGTCATATATTGAAGTCAACATGACGGTAAGGTATTTTCCATCAAAACAAAGTATTCAGTCATATATTGAAGTCAACATGACGGTAAGGTATGTTCCATCAAAACAAAGTATTCAGTCATATATTGAAGTCAACATGACGGTAAGGTATGTTCCATCAAAACAAAGTATTCAGTCATATGTTCAAGTCAACATGACAGTTATTGTGCAGGATGCAAACATCTGTAATAGACTTCTGTGTCTAAGTTCCCAAATTAGCCCCAAGAAGTCATTATCTGCACTGAATTATCTGAACCTCAGTGTATTATGCCAAACCCTTCTGTACAAAAAGAGGGTAAGAAGAGTGAGGATGGGTTGCATTTAACATCTTGAAGGAAATATTTATTACAAGACTTGCTGTTTAATTACCATATATGGTAGTTGCAGTTAGTCTATAAATGTAGCTGCAGATGGAAAAAATGCATTAAAGGAAAACAAACATACTGAAAATAAAGTACTGTTTTCTCTCACAAATATATGAATCAATAGATTTTTTTTACATGAGTAATTTCTATTGATAATCTTGATTGTGATCTCTTAACAAAAAATTTGTTTTTAACTTACAACATAGTATGAATAAACATCAAAATGTCACAGAATATTTTCTTATTTCATTTGTTTTGAATGTCATAAGTGTCTTGCTTATCCTTGTTGACAGTCACTTTGTCAGGCTATACAGGGTATTATAAGACCATCAGTAATTTGATGTATTATTGTTTCTATAAACATTGGATGAAATGTTTGACTTGAGTAAGTCAAATGGTGTTGTGGTTTGATGTAACATCATTATGGTAATTGTAAGCACAGCTAAGAGAAAGCATATTGTAACTTCCTGGTGGTTGAGACTCCCCATGTTTTGTGTTACAGCTGGGTGATTAATGGAATTGGATAATAGGTTAATTGTCAGGCTTACCATCCACTAATCGATTATTCTCAAATGAAACTTGAAATTGGAAAATTCCAAAATAGTGATAATCAGAAATATTAATTTTAATTAATTGATTATCTTACATGATACTAATCAAAGTTATTACTGCTCATAGATTATTGAATTAATTGATCAGACTTACTTTGCATATATACTGATCAATCTCAACCCTTTTTTTACTTCCATTGCTGTAAGTTAGTGTTTTTTCAATTTGTAATGGTTTTGTGCTGGTTATACTTTTTAATTGATATGTAGGTACAGAGCTTGTGAATAGAAACACAACTTAATATTTTATGTATTTTGTTTCCGTATTATAGCCACGAGAGCACAGAACAGTTTCAACATTTCAGCCTTTGGAAAAAGAACTGGTTTTTGACATAGATATGACAGACTATGATGAAGTAAGGAATTGCTGCTCGGGAACAGATATCTGTAAAAAGTGTTGGCCTTTTATTGTGATTGCCATGAAGATTTTGGACCGAGCATTGAAGGGTATTTCTTCTGTTTACTTCACAGATGTTTTTTACGTAAATGTTGTTACGTACAGAATATATTTTTTACCAAATTAATTTCTGAATATTTTTTCACAATATTTGAAACTAATAATGAATATTAAAGACATAATTTTTGTTTTTCTCAACATATTTCTCTTGTAATAACCTGATTTGAAGATCAAAGATTGTTGTTGTTTGTGAAAAGTGTGTATAATTTTATGTATTAGTTATTATCTCATGAAGGGCTCTAAGTTTAATGGGATTACATGGCTGCAACATTGTTGTTTTTTGTATAATTAACATGTCACCGTACTATCAATGTCTGAATTTTTAAACTTATTAAAGTCAAGTTTAGGTCACTGTTACCATATTTGATGATGTCTTTACTGGCGAAACTATGGTCATGAATAAATGATGTATTTGTGAAATGTACAATAGTTTTGTTTTTCCTCAATTCTGTAATTATGGAGTTTCACCGATGATTTCAAGTATCAATTATATAATTTTTGACTTAGTTATGACTTTGTTGCTTGGCATTTGGTGCTTAATGGCCATACAGTCTGATGAATGGCCTGTCAAAATAACTTCTAAAGTCTAAAAATGTGTTTGTTTTTCTTATTTCATAAAAATACAACTGGTAAATTGCTGTTGACAGTGTAATGTCTAACATCATCTTAAGTGCTATTATTTTAAGCTGTTATTACTTCAGGTAAAGTTTGCGTAATTTTACATTTTGATGCATAATCAGTATGTAATTTTTTCTTTCTGCATAACTTCAAATTCTTGGCCAGATAATTTTAATTTCTTTGCCACATAAAAATTGGGACCCTGTTCATAAAAATAGAGCTTGAGGTGTTACTTGTGTTTTCTCAGCTGTGCTCAGAAATAAAAAAAGAATATAGCATAGATGTCTGTTTTGGTTTTCAGAGGACTTTGGGTTTCATCACCTTTTGTGGGTATACTCTGGAAGACGAGGGGTTCACTGTTGGGTGTGTGATGAAGTAGCCCGTAAATTAACTTCAACAGCTCGTTCAGCCATTGCAGAATATCTCACAGTTGTTAAGGTAACTGATAATCGGAGAAACTGTTTGTGTCATTTCTTTTAGAAGAAAATTTTGTTAAAACTGTGTTCTATTATGATTATTATTATAGAACAATATACTTTATTATTCAGTTGTTGGGTGAGTTAAACTTAACTTTGCTAGCTACATGGAGGTTTGTAACTTTGCTAGCTACATGAAGGTTTGTAACTTTTAAGCCACTATCCAGGGTTAGTTTTGAAAAGTATAAAATTATTGCAAATGATATTAGTTTATTTTCATTTAATAAAGTTATGTCCAAACTTTTTTTAGAGGATCACAGACTTTTAGAGAATTGTGTTACTTTTGAAATCACCTTCCTCACTGTTATCATCTTTAGATTATCCCCTTTTTTTCCAGACTCGTAGCTTTCTAGAATTTCAGTTATACATGGTAAATAAGAAAGGAAATTCAATAGGGTTAGGATGTGAGATACACAATAATGGTATAATTTCAGTTGTTGTAAAGTGTTGGTTTTAGTTCATGGCTTAAGTGAGTAAGAAAAAATATATATTAATGGCACTTTATTTATTGTAGAGTATCTTTAAAATAATTTTATTACCTTTAATTCATGATACTCACAGTTGTTAATAAATAGATGAGATATTAGCTTGAGAAACCATGGAAACAGTTGTTCTAAAATCTCAAAATAAACCAAGATGTGGAGAAGACACGTACTATAAACATACTGTATAATTGGTTCCCTTATTGTGAAGTTACTGGATAGGATTCACATTATGGTTCTGGGAATGGAGGGATTGGAATTTGAAGACAGGCTGAAATTTCTCCATTTTTCTTGAAAAGGGAAGACCTGGGGATGATCTAATTTAATTATTCTAACTTATTGATATGACTGCACCAGTTTTTTTCATATTGATTTATTAGGGCAGTGTGACAAGAGGTTACAAGTTTAAGGCTTTAAAAACTTACTTCATGTACATATTAAACCAGATCTGTCTGACAACTATAAGTATTTATTTATCAAAAAAAAAACTTGCCTTCTTGATTTTAAGAAATTCCGCTGCATAACATTAAACCTAAATTTAGAAAAACATAAAATCTCAGAGGAAATAAAACACCAAGATGGTTGCCACTTCCCAAATATCTTTCCAAGTAAAAAATTAATATTTAGAAACAAGTTTGAAACCTATAACACTGAGAATTTTTCAACGTATTTCTATGTTTTCTGTTCATAAAGTGCTTCAATTCTAGAATTACATAAAAAATGAGCCCACCTTATACTGGGATGTATATTTTCACCCAGCTGAACCTTCTTGGTTTTAAATTCACCTCCCTAAAACAAAAAGAAAAATCAAAATATTTATGATTATAAATTATGTAATTTTCAAGCATCCTATTGGTCCATCAAGGATAGCCTCACCACCAACCTTTCTCAATTAACCAAAAACTTATAATTTAACATGGAAGGTAGGGGTATGTTTAGTTTTATATATAAAGATTTATATGGGCCTGGTATGATATTGCACATGAAGTATGTTGTTTAATGTGGAAGGTAGGGGTATGTTTAGTTTTATATATAAAGATTTATATGGGCATGGTATGATATTGTACCCGGAGTAAGTTGTTTAATGTGGAAGGTAGGGGTATGTTTAGTTTTATATATGAAGATTTATATGGGTCTGGTATGATATGGTAAATATGGTAAGATGTTTAACATAGAGTTTGGCTGTGATCTATATGCTAGTATAAATACCATTTATAGGTTAATTACTTGTGTTTTTACTAACTTTATGGACTAACATTGTGATGTTTTTCTTCAAGAAGACCACCATCCTCATGAAAGTCTTTAACGGTAGCTGAAATTGAAATACGTCAAAGTTTTTAAATCTAATGCAACAGCCACATTAAGCTATGGTATCTGAATGTGTAATATTTACAAGATATTATTTCCTGGGAATATTGCTTCTTGTAAGTTAAATTCATGAATGTATTGAAAACAGTTTAATGATCAAACAAAACCGTAAAGTATTACACATAACTGTTTACATTCTAGGAAAGCAAAAGAGATAATTCAGAAGTATTTTAATGACCTGATGCTAGAAAATCAAGAAATTATGGAAACTGAAGAAAAATGGGAGAAGATTGTTGCATTGTGCCCAGATGGAAATATCCTTTTTTGTCTTCTAATTTTGAATTGTAAAGTTATTGATTTGTCAACTTTCTTAATATGTATTTAATGTGATTTACTATATATAGATATAACTAGAAATCTGTTACACACTTCTAACACTTGATATTACTAGTGGTATATTAGTTATATTTGAGTTTTTTGAGTTACTTAAATGTGGTGAACCAGCATATTGTGGCTGCTTGTGTAAATGTTTACAAACACTTGAGGAAAAAATGTTTAATGGAAAATTACTTTGCCCTTTTTTCTGTAATGGTTCTTAGGTGAAAAATGTAATTATTTGTTAGATACTTTTGTTTATCTGTGTAAGAAGATGATATTTATCAATATCGTGATAACATTCCATCTTAAGCGTAATCGTAATGTAAACAATTTCTCATGCTATATCACAGTTTAACAATGTTACAATATTATTGGTATTAAGCTGTTCAGTAGCTTTATATATACATATATGTGTGTGTGTGTAGTCTGTGTGATGATGTTAAAAATATATCCAAAGTGAGTAATAGTAAACCCTCTGTGGAATTCTCGGATGAAACCAAATTCCACACAAGTATTAGATAGGTGTGCTTTATTAAAGAAAGATCAATCAGGAAATTTACAAGGAAAGTCTTCATTCAGCTAAGTGACTGAGGTTTAAGCTGAGAAACTAAACAGACTAGACCTGTGATGTAAAGTATTAAAAAATCTTGAATATTATCTCAAAGCACAAGGACTAGCATGGCCTGGTGGTTAAGGTGCTTGACTCACAATCTGCAGGTCGTGGGTTTGAATCCCTCTCACAGCGAACATGCTTTGACCTTCAGTCAAGGGAGTGTTATAACGTGATTATCCCACTATTTGTTGGTAAAAGAGTGGCTCAAGAGGTGATGGAGAGTGGTGTTGGCTAGCTACTTTTCACTCTATTCTATCAATGCTAAATTAGGGATGGCTAATGCAGATAGGCCTCACATAGCTTTGTGTGAAAATTCAAATCAAACCAAACCTCAAAACACAATGTACATACTTGCATAAGACACTGGATTGTTGTTTCCTGCTGGATCTTTGAATTATTCCTTGGTTATTGTCTCTCAGAATGTTTTGCCATCAACCAACTCAACAATCCAATGCTCTGTACTTAACGTGAAACTTTGGATTTACACATGACTAGCGCTTAGCATGTGACTAGCTCCAAAGAAGCGTAAGTTAAATATTTTGTTACTGAAAACATATCTTTGAATCCTGTTTAGTGCTTTGCAATGAAACTTGCCTATGTTGTAAATTTTTTATCAGTGTCATCTTTATTATAAGATACATGTATACGATTTATTAAAGAACAAGTCTATGGGTGTTGATATTTGTATCCTGAATTTTTAATGTTACACATGAGCATACGTCAGTATTCTTAGCTACATCCATGGTTATTGTTTTATATACTTTTTTACAAGTCTCTTGAACTTCTGTGGCTTTGAGTTATTTTTATGTGGGCCTGAGAATTATGGAGTTAATTATAATTAACAGAGCTCAAGAATTAAAAAATGTCAATATAACTTATCAAAGTTTGTTAATTTATTTTACAAATATTTCCTCACTGGAGTTAATAACTACATTTAGGCCTGTGTTTCTCAAACCGTGGGTAGGTACAAAGGAGTCGAGAGCTGTCTGCGCTGGGTCAACATTTTATTTAAATAAATAAAATTGGTGTGTTTTTTTCATTCTTGTAGAGACAATGGGGGGGGGGTGATGACTAAAGCTTGGATGTGGGGGTCGGCTGAGGAACAACGATTTAGGCTATGAAGTATATTAATTTCACCCTCTGACCTTAACTTAATTACAGCTAAGAGAAAATCTGCAGCAGAGATTAGCAAAATTCACGAACAGCAAGGACTGCTGGGAAGCTTTCAAAGACACTGTCAATTATGCAATAAAAAAGGTAAGATATCCTCATGAATCAGGTTTGCGTGATTTCACATTCTCCAACTTGACATGGAAACTTTTAAAAACTGAGATATGGGAACAAAAAGAGGAATTTTATATTATTCAGAGGAAAAAAGATTCTTAACATTTCTTGGCTTTTTTGATAAAATACTCTGTCGTAAGTAATGTCATAAATAATCAAAATGAAATTCAAGTGTTACAGAGAAGATAAATGACCTTTAGCACATTCTTTACTTGCTCTAGACATAAGGGTTATCTCCAAATAAAACTGATATTACATGAACTAAAAGCATTTTTATTAAAATAAATAATATCCAGGCAATGACACATTGTATTTAATCATGGGTTATGGTTGTTGTTTTTTTTTCTTTACTTTTTCACATTAGTTTTTAAAATGAAAAATGCAAATCATTCATTTAAAATTTTTGATGTAATGTTTTTATTTCCATCCTCTATATATTTAAACCAGAAACATGAAATAGTTACCTATTTCATGTTTCTGGTTTAATAACTGACAGAAAAATGTTTTCCCTTAAAAATCTCTCAATTTCAAAGTATTTTTTAAGATGGAAAAGTTATCGTGTTCAGGCTATTGTTTTAGGTTGCTTTACGGTTCTAAAACGTGTACCATGAATTTATGGGTAACTTTAAGTTGTATATGTGTCTTCCAATTTGTAACCCCTCGATGTGGATTCCTGTACGTGGTGAGGGGACCTCCCAGGGAAGGTTCTGTATTTTCAGTTACTTTCTCTGGGATCTAAACATCCACCCACGTGTTTGCCGTGCGTGGCGACCCGTGAAGGGGAGGAGAGGATCCTGGTGGTTGAGTGGTGTCAATTTGCTGGTCCACTGGGGCTAGGGTCAACTGAGTACCAGTGTTGGGCGTTCTCAACGGGTGTTGTGGACATTGTGTCTGATACTGGTGTTTGGGTATA